TTGGCGGCTGTGTGGGCTGGCCAGCCGATATACTAGTCAGTGCTTTCATGATCCCAAACTAGTCCGGTACCATTTAAACGACCAGGAAGGACGGAGGGCCTGGGTGTATCAATCAGGGTTCCGATGATTGTAAGATAGCGCGCTACTTGATACCACCCAAACTCTGCTCCTTATCGAGTATACAGTTCAGTACGTGTTTTACATAAATGAGGTAGATTAGTGGCAAGGGGCGCACTATGACACAGCATACAGCAACACGGGTTCGGATCCGAGATCGTGATCGGCCTAGGCCAACAAGGCTTCTCTCCTCCGCGGTCGTTTTATTGGTACCACTTTTCTGGCAGGATGAAAGCACTGATTTGTATATCGGCCGGTCATCGGAATTCATTGCATAGGTCTCATACTCATTCACGATTCTGAATGGAAGTCGAATGCGGGGCGCATGCCGTGCCCCACGTTCGACTTTCATTCAGAATCGTGGCGGCGTGCAATTTCCAGCCAATAAGAAAAATCGCAAATGAGTCTCTCAGAGTGGCACATCTTCGAAAGCTCTCTCCCTGAAAAGGTTTTTTCAGAAACCAGTGAGCCAATTGATTAATTGCTTAATTTGTTGATTAGTTTACGATTCACTCAATAAAACCTTTATCACTCTCAGGGGATCACTATCCTGTGGAACCCAGCTACTACGTCGAATTAATCATAATACTACTCAATACTGAAGAATTAAGGAATCGTAAAATCCTATGTTACTATCAGTCTGGCGTTTTACAGAATTGCGTTTTCTCACGTACGCATGGATTGTGTAGCATAACCCTCTCTCTGCTTCTACAGTTTTGAGATCGATATGCATCCAATCACCATGAAGAACTTCGCCGTTCATCGATTACGTGTTTCCACCAGTCATTGATTTCTCAACTATGATCCAAGGGTGAGAATGGAGCTGGCGCGACTCCTTGTATTAGGTTGTGCGGAAGGTACTTGCCAAAAACTTCACAACAGCGAATGCTTACCCGGAATTTTCTTGAAGAATTTCTTTTTTGGAAAATTAGAAAGACTCCATATGTGCGTTACACATCAGGAGATTTCACGATATTGCATTCGGCTAGCTGCTTTCATAGTCCGCCGGCCGGCCCGCGAGCGCACGCGCGCCGGCCGGGGGCGGCGCTTGCCACTCGTTTACAACTGAATGTTGATCAATACTGCAGGCCGAAGGGTGTGTGTCAAGTCGTGCGTCCGAGTGCGCGTGCGGCAACTTGCGCGGCGAAGTTCATAGCGAACTTGGGCGACTCCGGCGCCTATCAATATAGCCCATATCTAGGGTAGAGATTGGAGGGATTTTATCGTCCCGTGGGTGTGTGACACCGTAACCCCCTAGCCCTACGATATCGAAATTCACCTCCGACCGTCACGTTTCTGTTTGCCAAGGGTGGGGCACTAGAAGGGTTACTGTATCACAAGTTTACGGGTCGTTAATATCCCTCTAAGAAAATACTCTTAGACGAATGCTCGATACAGGTTTCATCGAGTTTCAGCACCGAAAAGGTCGGATCTGAACTCTTGAAGAAGGAGTGTTCATTATGGGTAGACAATTCGGTCGCTGAATTGCCAAACAAACAAGGAAGAGTTGGCCGACGTGGCCAAAGGCCAGAGTTATGCGTATGTGCATGGTTAAGAGCCTTACATAAAAACCCCAAGGAAATTTTCAGAAAATCGAGAGAGAAATATGGACTATTGCGAATGTCGGCAGACACCCTTTGCACAGCATTTTGTTTTCTATCGAATCCCTGAAGCTAAGGGATGAAATTCATGAAAAATGAAATGAAAACATCGAGTTGTATGTCTGTGAAGTGATCAATCTAAACTTTATCTCTATCGAGGAATTATGGTCTCATGAAACTCTAACCACTACCCTAGTTGAAACATGGGTTTACTCATTGTTGGAGCATTGTGGAATTGTTGACCTAAGTAGATGATTTCGTAAAATATTCGATTTACTGCAGTTAGATGGACATCGATCTCGCGGAAGACAAAGCTGCAGAATTGCGAAACCCATAACCGAGGGTGACGTACGTATCGATAGGTTGGCCCAGCCCTCTTAGTGCTTACACGACTCCCGAGATCGATAAGCATTGAATGAATGTAGAGAGCCTCATTGCTCAGCCCACTATTCGCGATCTATGAACCAAGGGTGGGATTAGAGTTAAGTGCCCTTCCATTTCGATCTAGTCCCCTTAAGAAAGGGTCGACAGATGGCACGTCACCTTCATCAGACCCAAAAGTTTTGAAGAAAATTTTTCGTCGTAGGAATGAGGATTTCGCCCACGGCAAAAAGTAGGAAGTTCAGGATCGCTGAACCATGGACTGACTACATTCATTCAGTGCTGATAGGAAACGGATCCGATGAGCGAGATACTATCCGATGAGAGGGCGCAGGAGAGCAGAAAACCGAGACGGGTGGATGCTTTTAGACTTCGACGACTCTACTAGCGTGCGCGCCGGCACGTTAGTGGAATCACGTGCGTGAACAAGCCAACGTGTTGCGACGGCGGCTCTAGCCAACACTTTGTCAGCCTGGTGGTACCGATCGATGGTGCTAAGTGAGTTGGGCGGCGCGGCGCCTTTTCATGTCTGCGCCCTCTCCGGCGAGATAGTAGT